CACGGCAACTTGGAATCTATTTGTTAACTAGTTTCAAAGTCTAGGGTCTTTCGTAGGCCTAGAAAATCCCCTCTGAATATTGGTTCAAAGTCCGAAAAAGGTCATTAACCAATTTCTATTTTTCAAATATTCATTCACACTTATGTCAGCTACAGAGGATTTTAAAGACAATTTAGAGCGTGTTAGAAAGAGCGTGATTAGCTGAGTGTTGTTATACTTTTTTGAAACCAATAGGAATTTCTGATGTCCAACCCATCCTTCTCCCTTGAGGATTTTTTCTGTTACAGACCATACCAAACTTGTCCTCTTAAACATATCACAAACTTAGATCCATTAAAAACTTTATTCTATTTGTATCTGTGGTAGCTGAAGTACAGCTTTTTCATAAGAACTGTTAGACAATTGTCAGAAAAAGTTCAGCTAATTTTTGTGCATTCTAATTGTCTGCTTTCAAGTCTGTCAGTTGGTTAAATAACAATTTCAGTCTATAAGCACTTAACATGCAGTTATTTCACTATGAATCTGTGGTATCCACCAGTAAAATTCCCTGCTCTTTTGAGGAACCTTTACTGCTATGTAATAACTATTAGATTTAGGTCAATTTGTCTCTTCATCAAAATACACATGGTATGTCTAACTGAACACTGAAAAGACCTATCACAGTAATCCTGTTATCTTTCCATGTTGATTTCCTACTTGTCAACCTTCATCACTATATAACGTGAGATACGTTGCCAGCATTTCATGGCATTTAATTCACTCACACTTAACACTTGAAAGAGCTATCACAGTAATTATGTTATATCTCGTTTGTAACCCTTTAGTGCACACTATTTGACCTTCATCACTATGTAACTTGATATAATTCCCCTCCACAACATAGAGTTTAATAGTATACAATTCACTATAACCTAACAGGTACACATTGTAACAGAGTAATGAGGTTGTTTTCTTTCTAGTTTATCTGCAAAATAAAAACATAAAAATAAAACACACCTAGATTTAGTCAAGGGTGACCCATGAACCTTTTTTGGAGAAACACATTCAACAAAGATGTCAGTTACCATCCATCTGTCTATGTGTAATCTGTTCAGGTCACTCTACATAGCTCTTTCCTATTTTCTATTGACACTGATATTTGGCTCAGGAGACTTGAACTTGCTCTCTTACCACTAAATACAAGGATATGCTACATAACGATCATGCAATTAGAAGCCAAAACATAAACAAGAATGCAACCCAAAGGAACAGCTTGGAAAGAAACTGCTCATCCTCTGCTTGAGGTGATCCTGGTGGTGCTGTTAACAAAAGATATTGATTAATGAATCATCAAATATACATGTAAATAACATTGAAGTAGGGAATTGGTGACCACAAGAGAGGGAAACACATGTTATTCACTTTAAGTCATCAACTACCTTCTGATCAACAATTTGGTTCAAATTAGTGAAAGCCTTGGTTGGAATATTATGCTTTGGGCGAAAGGTAGTTAATTTTTGTGGTGTATCATTTGCCAAATTTTCTTTAGAAGAAACTTCTTTCTGCTGGGTCCAAGGTTGGTTACAACAAGCCATGTATGTTCTGATAATTTTAAAATACGCTTCTGCCTGAATTAAGATAATGCATTTTATAACAATTATACGACAACCCACCTGCAGTCTGTCCTTGGCCACCAAATGTCTGCAATGAATAATTAAATAATCAAGCAATTTTATTTGATTATTAATATTGATACGATAAAAAGATAAAAACAAGTACTGTCTCAAATTAAATGAGGCAAGGCTTACCGTTGAGAAGAAGGCAAATGGGAATGCACCAATACCAAATGAAAGTTGAAATCCATCACCAAATCCACCAAAGCCTGGGAAGCCCTGAAAAATAACATTCAACACTCAAATTTACAAATCATACATGATTTAATTCGATATTAGACACTTGTTTCCCTATTACAGATGGTACCATCTGAATTTGGGAATTTGCTTCCATTTTTGGATGGTACTGCCACAATTTGGACACAAGCAATTGTTTTTACATTCTTCTGTCTGCTTTTAGACAGTGCCTCCAACTTCAATGATTCCAATTGTTTTCTGGTACTCAAGTCTGATTTTGAAGACAAGAGTTTTGATTTTGGGCAGCTGATGGTACCCTCCCGTCCCTTTTCCAACAGAAGCATCCCAAAAAATGCTATCAACATGCATATTTAAAATGATCAATAACTGTGTAGGACTATAAAATTGCTCATTCTGTTTTCTCTAAATAATTTATAAATAAAATTACCCACATACATGCACTATATGTGCTCTTCTTAGTCAGTGGGAGTGTTCAGAGTATACATGTATTAGATTCATACATATTTTTTGGATTTATTTTCAATTGAAAGAAAATCAATGACTTTCTTTGATTTTTTTACCATGGCATTCAATTTTCAGATGATAACATACTATTTCAGATACTTGTCTCTAATAACAACACTTTTTGGGTTTATAACAGTCTCTGCTTTTGGACACCACCATCCAATTTTAGACACTACCTTCTGCTCTCAGAATGAAGACTCCCATTTTGGACTGTAGTGTCTGTTTTTGGAGAGGACTATCTGATTTTGGTCACTATTGTCCATTTTAGACTGTACTGTGTAATTTTGGTCTCTACCATCTGTTTATGAATTGGTATCCCACCCTATTCAAGGTCTTCATCAAAACATATGGAGGGCTAGAACCTAGAAAATAAAGCTCTACTACTTGAATTCAATGTAGATGTACTTACTCCATTATTTTCTGGTTCTGGTCTTCTTCCCTGAGGTCTTGGTGGCATTTTCTCTCTTTAAAAGGTTAAACATGGTGATGTTATTGAATGAAATTACTTAGTATAATGTTACCAAATATTGAATTGAGAGCTACACACTAAAATTTTAATGACATTTGTTTGTAGGGCAGTCAAGTTAGCATGATGGTTCACAGCTTATGTCAAGTAACTCCACTTTGGTGTACAGAATAATAAAAAGAGGCAATAAAAAGTTAACTAATTTACGTAAAGGGTATGTTTAATGCTTTCAGTCCCTATCTCGAATTACTAAAAAGTAATTTCCCGACACAATATCAGCACAATGTCCCACAGAGATGGGATAGGAGAGAAGAGAAAATTTCTATATATTTAATATCTACAAAGGTATATTTTTTTATGTCACTAAATTCTCTGAGGCATTGTGCAGAGTCCAAGTCAATAGTGTGGTTCATGAGTCTGTGATGTTCAGTAATGTGATTGTTGACAAGACCTTTCCTCATCGCTCATTTGTATTCAGTCAGTCTAGTTGTGAAATTTCTGCCAGTCGCACTGACATACTAACTTTGAAGAAAAGTATGGCAGACAGCTTGGATAATTACTACTACCATCTTGGGAGTGAAAGGTTTGGACTCTGGGGTCCAAGTTTACCTGGGGTCTTCCTGATTAGTGCTTCCTCTACCATACAGTGGAATGACTTTATCTTTGCTAATACCTGCCTTGCAAACTGGGCACACTGATTTGTTAGGCC